ATGGATAAACAACATCCAGCGTTGGTTAGTATTTGGGAATGTTGATAATCGGTCAAAATGATGGCTCGTTCATCATTGAACAGTTTCTTTCGGCAAATCGTACAGCCAACAAACTCTGCCAGAACATTGAAAAACAGAATCAAAAATGAACAAAAAAATCCTTTTTTTGGTCATCAAAAAAGACCCGTTTCTTTTTCCTTTTTTAAGGTAAAAACAGTTGAAGCTAGCTTAAGCGCTTGCCTTAGCACTGCCGTTTTTCCTATACAATCACTAGTGTGGTCTTTGCTTCACCGTCAGCTCAACTACTAGCGCGAAGTTCGCAGATCTACACTTGTAAAATGCGTTAAGGAACATTGCTGTTAGTCAAAGCAAATTCGCGGCTCAGCCACGAGTGAAACGCTGTGGCGCGAAAAATGCTGACGTTGCTGAAGGCATTGTTCACGTTTGCGACGGTACTGTAACTGCGCGGTCCCCGCTGTCACAAACGATTACTGCAGCATACGGCTGTGACATCAGCAGCGTTTTTGGTCTTCTTTCTTCTGCGAACAGTAGGTGTAATGGTTTTTGACGGAAATTTTTTTTGTCGTAATCGTTTATAGTAATTGGCCGTTTAATTTTCATTTTCATTTTTGCTTTTATGTTATTTAATTGTATACTTTTTTTGTATCGCAGTTTAATTAAGACTGGAAATCAGAAGAGTTTGAGAAATGCTTTTTTCATTGGCTTGTTATTGTTCTTTTTTTCTCATTTTTGTTTTTGCCGTAAAAAAAAAAGAATGAATCTTCGGATTTTAGTCATTGATTTTTAAATTAAGTCTTTTTTCTGCCTTTTTTTTGTGTTGGAAGTCTTAACAGTGCAGTAAACAACCAGCTTAGTTATTTTGGCAGAAGCATAGTTTTTTTCCTATAACATCTTATTTTTCCCTTCCCTTGTCTTAGTTCTCATCTTCATTTTTGTCTTCTTGCTCTGCAGACTTTTTATCTTAACATTCTTTTTTTTATTTACAACCGGAAGCTCTAAATATCAGTGAGTGAAATGTTGAAGGATTGAAGGAGAGAAACGTTGAGGAAGAGAGAGAAAGAGGAGAGTTTTTGTTGAATGAACATTAAAAAAGCATTCTTTTACATTAGTTTTTTCTTCTGCAAGTTCTATTTATGCTGCCTAGTACGGTTATTTTAGTCATTGTATTTGTTCTTTCAAAACAATTTATTCATTAATTTGTTTGTTTATTTACAATTTTTTCGTTTATGATTACCGTACAAATTATAATGTTTTATTCAATTTCTTGAAAAAAAATTTATGGTTTTTCCCTTTTTTTCTTTTCGACTTTTATTGATGGTTACCTAACTTGTTCTTGATGTTGTATTAAATTGAATTGGTGATAATTTATTGACAGTAATTAGTAGATCATTATGATGCATGTATCTTTTTCTTTTCTATTTTTTTAAGGGGGAAAGCATCACCAGTTTGTTGTAACATTAAACAAAAAAAGATCAATTAATTTTCGTGTAAGTTTGATTAAAATTTGATTACTGAAATATTATTTCTGAGCATTTATGTATGTGTTCTATTTTTTTTTAATTGATCAGTTACTGGCGTCTTTGTCTTAAAATTTGAACATTGACTTTCTATGTCACTATCCGTAATGTATGCAATGATGGTAGTAACGATGCTTTTGACACAATATTAAGGTTTGGGTAGTTATTTTTTAGTCTGTAAGGGGAAGTGTCAAGCCAGTTTTTGTTGCTATTTTTAGTAATAAAACTTGATCCTTGTCAATTTTATTTCTTTATTATTATAAATTTACTAAGTATGAATTAAGCTTCAGGTGGCTGGTTTCGTCTGTAATAGCATCGCTTGTTTACTTATCTGTTGTTTTCTAATACAGTTTTATAAAAAAGCTATGATTTTTTTTTACAGGAAATTTTTATCATACGATTGCGGTAATGCTTCACATATCTGCAGTTAGGTGATGGCTGTAATAGCCCGAGACAGTCAAGATGAACCATTACGGTTATCAACGTGTCGACTCAGATCCGGGATTCATCGATACGCCTGTCAAAAAATACGGTACTGATTGTTTCATGATATATTTTTATTAAAAAAAAAAAAAAAAAAAAAAAAAAAAA